TTACAAATTGGTAGGAGACTCAAGATTAAAACCTGGACCTATGATTACAATGTCATTCTTTTATTTTTTATTTTTTATTTTTTTTGTTTGTTTGTTTGTTTTTTTGGTTTTTCTCCGGTACCGGGAACCGAACTCACGACCTTGCGCTTGCCAGGCAGGCGCTTTTGCCGCTGAGCTAAATCCCCAGCCCTGTCAGGAGGTTCTTATAGAGTATGAAGTTAATAGGAACAAAAATATCAATAAATTATTAAATTCTTGTGTTTGGGGACAAGGTCTCTCTATGTAGTTCAGGCTGGCCTTGAACTCACTATGTAGACCAGGCTGGTCTCAAACTCATGGTGATCCTCCTGCCTCAGTCTCCCAAGGTCTGGGATTAAAGGTATGTGCTACTATACCCAGAAAATTATTAAATTCTTATTATGTATTGTGCATTTAGAATAGACATCATTTTTCCACCAGCTGAGTTCTTGCTTACAAAACCTAAAAGATAATATATTAATTATTATTAATATTTTAATAATAAATTCCCATATGAACTACAATGAAAACACCAATAGAGCTCTACCACAAAAATATGCTTTGCTTCAACCGTCACATCTAAGGCAGTCTTCACACACAATAACTGCATGTTCCATGCACACATCTCACTTAAACTTACATAGCACCTGTGCTTAGCTTTCCTTTCCTATGTGGCAGTCTTGTCACATCTCTCCCCTCTTCCTGTTTTGTCAGGAGCTTCCTACTATATTGTACAACATGCACTTAGCAGGGAAATAAGATGTCAGTAAAGTAAAATATCAAATATATAACGGGTGTTGAGAATCGACATCAACATTTTCACATCAGCAATTTACAAAACCTAAAAAAACATAAAAAATAAAAAGTTATGTGAATTACTATGTAAACACAAACAAAAGTCTACTAAAGAAATAAGCTTTGCTTCAATTGTCACACCCGAGGCAGTCTTCACACATGACAACTGTGTGTTCCATACGTAAGTATTGCTTACACTGATAGTATGTGTGTTTTGTTTTCCTGGACTTCCCTGTAGGGCACAATTGACACCTTTTTGGTTTCCTGTTGTCCTACTAGGTCCTTGTGATGCTGCGCCTGCTTACTCACCTGTCAGCTCACCAGTGTGCACCACAATTTTTTCTGTAGTTCCCTGGGCAGAAACATTTTGATTTTCTTCTTTTTTTTTTTTTTTTTTTTTTTTGGTTTTTCTCCGGTACCGGGAACCGAACTCGCGACCTTGCGCATGCCAGGCAGGCGCTTTTGCCGCTGAGCTAAATCCCCAGCCCCTCATTTTGATTTTCTTCTGCTGTAAATAACCTCTTATGAGTCCCAGTCCCAATCCTCTAAGAAAATTCCTGCATAATATTTTGCATTTATTTTCTTTGTAAACTATCAAACTATTTATATCACATATATCTAGGATTGAGTAAAACACAATCATTCGCCAATGCTCTGTTTCAAGTGACATCATAGTTGCTATATAACTTATCAAAAACATCTACTCCACCTTCAGTTTTGTTGTTGAAAATTTCCATCACAGCCTTCTGTTCTGTCAAGGTCTCCCTATCAATATTTCCATCATGGTGAAATGTTGACAGCAGCAGTACCAGTTTGTTTTTCTTTGCTATATATATAAGGCCAATGTTGTATCTTTCTGAAATCCAAAGATTGTACCATACAATTCTCTATTTTGAAACTGCAACATTCCATTTGGAATTTCTGCTTTGTTCCTGTGTACAGTTCCCGCGCTGGTCAATTTGTGCTCTGCTAGCAAATGTAACATAAACTGGAAACTGATAAACCAAGTGGTGAATGTCACATTCCAATTAGTTTTGGAGATAGGAGCAACAAGTCCGTTCACAACATCATGTGTTTATTACTATACAAATAAAGTCCCAATGGTTGAGTTCCAGGATAAATGTCTAAATTGAAAGCATAATAATCTTTGCATCTACAAGGGCATAAATTTTTATGCCATATTTTCACCTATCACTTTTTTACATTCCTGAACTCACCATGAGAAATCTGTGCTAAGTACAGCAGACCTAAGAATGCTTTCAGTTCAGTAATGAGGTATCATAATAAACACATTTTTGAATATGGCTATTGGTGCATACAGAACATTTTATCTGCATTTCAGCCTTTGTGTATTTCACAGCATCTTGTAGCATTTCATCTGTTACAATTCCCAACACTGAATGGCAGTGCTATCCAATATGTTTCACCCCTACCAAGACCTTCACTATATTTTCAGACCTAGTTCTAGCATTGGATTGTTCCATTTGGTTGTGTGGCCACTTCTCAACATTTTGAACAGTCAACTAGGTACTCAGAGCTTATCTGCATTGTTAAGTGGGGATAGGAAGCTTGCATGTTCAGATCAGGCAACTGCAAAAAGATTCATCTTTGAATTAGTGACTTTAACTAGGGGCATAAGCCCCTAGTTAAGCCCCTAGTTAAGACAGAAGACTGCTGTCTTCTTTATCATCTAAATCAAAGTGGTCTTCATTCCCTGTGTCTGCATCAGTCAATTCTTGCTTTATTTCACTGTCAGAGGAACTTTGGCTCACATGGCCAACATCAAAGTCATCGTCATCATCATCATCCACTCACACTGCTCTTCTGTAATGAAAGCATATATTTTACCATAATGGATCATCTTCATCATCCATGCATGAGTAATCTGATGAGTCACTTTTGACCTCCTCCAAAACTTGCAAATATGGTTTTTCACGTATCATGGTACTGAACTGGGCTACTTCTATCAGAAAAATCAAAAGTAAAGTTTCTTTTAAACAAATCTTGGAGTGGCATGGGTCTATCGGACCCTCTGTGATCCTTGGGCAAACATATGCAGAACAGCTGCAGCATAAAGATGAGAACAAATCCTGTTTTGCCTCTTTTGTGCACATGCACCATCCTTGCCATTCATCATACCAAGTGGATAAACACATAGATTACTTCCTATATCCTTCAGGGAAAGGTACTGAGATGCATAGCTGGCTACTATAATGCTAATTTACAAATTTACAGTAGAAAATTAAGGGATGGACCCAGGCTGATGCCCCTAGTTAAAGTCACTAATTCAAAGATGAATCTTTTTGCAGTTGCCTGATCTGAACATGCAAGCTTCCTATCCCCACTTCACAAGGCAGATAAGCTCTGAGATAAATGAGTTAGGCTGTACCTTTCTACTCAAGACAGCTGACACACTTCTCTGACCAGAGATGTCTCCTTGTTCACAAGTTTACCTAGTCACATACAAAGCTACAAGTCACATCTACAAAAAATATTTTTTACATATTTCAGGGCTTTTTATCCTCAACTGGCCTTCTAGAAAATAGGCAGAGGTATCCAAGATTACAGGAACATTTGAAAAAGGCAGTGCCACAAAATGGACCTGAGCTCTGGGATGACTTAGTCCCTGGTTAAAGAATAACTCACAGAACAGATAAACTGTGTAGACTTTGTTTGGATCCCAATCTGAATAACTAATACAAAATGGGAAAATGTGGAAATGTTGTCTGGGTATTGAACATTATGGAGTATCTTTTTAGAGATAGTAAGTATGCTTTTGTTTTAAAAAGAGTTCTCATCTCTTAGATACTGAAGTATTAACAAATTAATAGAATGTCTGGAATTTGCTTTAAAGTGGAGCAGGAGATAGGAAAGTTTAGGTAAAAAATAATGGATATTTGTTGATAACTTGTGGCTGGATAGTGAGTATGGGGGTTTCACTATATATTGTATTCTGTGTATATTTGAAAATGCCCATTTAATAAAAAAAAAAGGATAAGAAAAAGAAAAAAGAACATTCAATAGGTATCCGTTTATCAGGATCCCTAACAGCAGGTTTCCGTAACAAGTCTCTGTCAAAAACTGTGTGACTTTGGACAAGACTCCTAATGTCTTGGCTCACTGTGCCTTAAATTGTGGCTCTTGCCTGAGATTTCTTGGGGTGGAAAGACGCCCTAGGACTACAGACTTGTATACGAGGTCAAGGGCATTAAAAAGGACAAAGAACTCAACAGTCAGAGTGCCGCAAACATTAATCTTAGCTCTGATAGTTGCACGTGACACTGGACACTGTCCTTTCTATCTGCCCATCTAGCTATAGATATTTTTAGAAAGGATGTGGCTGTGTAGTTCAGGCTGGCCTCGAATCCACAGCCATCTTCCTGCCTCAACCTCCGGAGCGCTGGGATTACAGGCATGCACCACCATACCCAGCTGCCTTTAGCTATAAAAAATGACATTTCTGTCTCATTGATGGAAAAATTAAAGGATGTAAAAGGTCTGGCACAGGGGATGATAATAAATATTAGTTTTCCTTCTCGATTTCCCGGTTTTGCCCAGAAGCAGTACTAGGAGGACCTGGTAACCTTCCACCTCGGTCGTCCAAAACGCACATCTGCCCAAGACCCAGGCGGCCAGGTGAGCGCACAGCGCCCTCGCGCGCCCAGCCGGGGATCGGTCGCGGGAGTTGCCCCGCCCACCAGCGACTGCGGCTGCGCAAAGGAACCGCCTCCAAGTTTGTTGTTGTCGCTCGCGTCCCCGTCACTGGTGGCCGGGGCTGGACCGGTCGCGGCGCCACCATGGCGGTGCGACAGGCGCTGGGCCGCGGCCTGCACCTTGGTCGAGCGCTGCTGCTGCGCTTCACGGCCAAGCCCGGCGCGGCCTACGGCTGGG